CGCTTGGTGGCGAAAAGGCCAATTTAAAGTCGCCCGAGGCCTTAAGAAAGTTCGTGACAATTGCGGTGCTTGGACGACGAAAATGGCCTGTAAAGTTTAACACTTTTTTGACACTGACTATAACTGCAGTGCGTCAACAAAGACTTATGGCGCTTTAAATTACAACAATTTATCTTTTAATATATTCATTTAACATTTTCTTTTTTATCTTTAATTTTATGGAGTAATAATTTAATTAGTTTTTTTGGAATATCAATTTTTTTTTTTGGGCTTTGAATATGTTTTTAATAATCTTAATGAGATTTAATTTATGGAATTTTTTTGATTTACCAATTAGAATTTTTAGGATTTTGCCTTTATAGATTTTTTTATTTTTATTTATTCCATAATAAAATCCTTTAATTCTAATTTAAATTTTATCTTTCTTTCAAAAAATTTATAATAAATATATAACTTATTTTTAAAATTAAAGCACAACAATTTAATGAATGTAAGTTATAATATTGTTATTTTTTTTTTTCCTCTTTTTAATATAATGTGGTTCATTTTTAAACCTATGATCTAGTATTTTTATTATATTCTAGTTTTTGTATAATTTTTTTTATCAATTTTCTTCGTTTGAAAGTCGGCATCGCCGCAGCGTACCAATTGTAACTTCCCGAAGGCACGACCTATCAGCGAAAGGACGCGATTGTTCACCAAGTAGCTGATCCACGCCAACAAGTGCCGTGGTGGAACCATATCAGTGGTGCCACAGCATTAGTTCATTTGTTGGGCGTAGTGGCTCCGATCTTTCAAGCGCCGCAGAACCAGATGTCTACTTCATGTTTTCCTATAAATAGTCAATACATTATGTTTGTAAGAGAGTTCAATCACTTAGATAATTTCAATATAATTCAGAGTGCTTCTTTGAATTTCTCTTAAGGTGACAACTAAAGAAATTTAGAAAAGTATTTGATACCATCATTAGAGTGTTTGGCTTGTATTTGTGAAAGTAAATTTGTAAGTAAAGAGGAATGTAGAAGAGATCCATTGAATCATTATGGTGATATCTATCTCTTCTATTTTCTTTCTATTATATTATTAATGAAAATGAGTTTGCTTCAATTCCACCCCATGTCTGGCTAAACTCTTTTATTTTGGATTGATGATATAAATATCATATGTAGTATTAATGAATTCTCTTATTCCTTAAATGATTAAAATGATGTTTTCAATATTATCATATTTTAATTTAATGCACATAGTGACCATATGTGAAATTAAAATTAGGTGTAATGTGGAGCCTCCACGGAGGAAAACATACATGATAAGGAATATTGAATTAGTATGTGTCATAAATAGGCATATGGTATGAAGTATATTAAATTATTAAGGAGATTATATAACTGTAGGAAGTCAATGTACATCATTTGTTCCTACAAGCTCGACAAAGTTCTACGAATGTATATGCTCTAAATAACATCACAATTAAAAGAGTATCATTAAGAAAAATATCTTATTTATATTCATCACTCAAAAATATTATATCCATATAGTGTATTCATTATCTTTATCTAATTTTATTTAAGTAATTTAACATCATCTATTTTTATTGAGTATGATAATTATTGTAATTAGAATAAACAGTAGTTGTTGATTACTAAAAAAAGCGTACTTCCTCGTAGATTCGACACTCTACTCTATCAATGTATTACTTAATTTGGACATTGGACGCATATACTTACGTATATTAAGAGGAGTTTACTCATTTATATTAAATAAAATCTAATTCAAATTTAGTGGAGAGAGAACCTTAAGCATTCATTGTTAATTTGTTATAATTCAAATTTATATTTACCCACAACCCCTATCAGATTTACAATATATATGTATAGAGAGAGATGGTTACATTTTATTTTTTCTCATTTTTTTTATTTTTCATTTTAATATTTAATAATTTTTTATTTGTTTTAAGATTCAATTCAGGTTCAAGAATTCTCCCAAAATTATTCAATTCATGTAATTCTCTCAAAATTATTGTGTTCAAGCTTTGATTCAATCAAAATTTTGATAGCTTCCCGACGTCTCCCACGACCCCCATATAGGAGGCAATCTAAAGAGATTCTAGGCCTGCTCACCACTCCACTAAAGGGGTGCATATGTGGTGTCGTAGGACACCACGGCCAGGACTTTTCTATCTCGCCACCCCACAAAAGGGGTGCATGGGTCTTCTTGTGCATCTTTAAGTTTTTTAAATTTATACCTTTACAAATGAAGTGGTGGCCAAGATTTTGGAAACACAAATTTTTTTCACTTGTTTTAATTTTTTTATAGGAATAATAATATTGGAAGAGAGTTGACTGTTGGAGTTGGGGTGTTTTTTGTTTGGGTGTAGAGTTGTGATTTAATGAGGTCGGGTGGTAAGCTGGGGAGTTTGTTATAGTAGATAGTTGTTTGGTGATGGGCTTTGAGGAAGCAACTGCAGAGAGGAGTTTGAGAGGTGCCGGAGGAAGAAAGCAGGAATTCGGTTTGTTGTAGGCTAAGAACTAGGTGAGTTCTATTAGAGGATGCGAAAGAAAATCATGCAACAAACACAAAATAAAAATAGAAAGCAACGAAAATAAGAGGATGCCAGGATTTAACATGGAAATACCTGAAATCGGGAAGAAAAAAAAAATGGAGAGTCGCACCACACCAAGAAATTCACTATAAAAGTTGAGAGAATTTTGTACGGATCTCTCTTCTCTCTCGCTCTCGCCTTGCTTCTCTTCACTCTTAAATCGTTCTTGAGTTTAAGAACTCGAGAACGACACGAGGATTATAACCGGCGTTCAAGAATTGCCCATACGTCTGAGGCCGAGGAGGCGGTGATGACGTACGGTAGGATGGACGGTGATATTGTGGAGAACAGAGCCGAAATCAACGTGCTATCGACGAGTTTCCAAGCTGTGTAGGCGGGCTGGTTGTCAACGGTAGGTTGATGGACATCGCCGGTGAGATGTCCAGCATAACCGGTAGCTGTGAATTGTTGGAGGATTTGAGTTCGCCATATGGCGTAATTGTCGGTGGTGAGAGGATGGGGTAGAAGATTCTTGATGTTTGTGATGAGAAATTTCAAAGAAACCGGAATGAATGGCTCTGGGGTGTGAGTGCCGGCGAGGGCGGTGGAGGAGGGAGGGAGAGAAGCGGCTTAATCTTGATCCCCCATCTTGTGGCTCTTGATACCATGAAAGAAACAAGACTCGAAGCAGAGAGAAGGCGAGCCGGAGAAGAAGGGAGGAAAAATAGGGAAATATTATTCAAAAGTAAATGTGTGTACAGTATTCTTTAAATAGGCAAAAACAGGTAAAACAGTAATTATAATAGGTACAGGTTAATGTAAAGTTGTGCTAATCTAATAGTTCTCACACACAAAGCAAAAACGAATGTCAAGTAAATAATACCAAGGGATGTTACCCTTAAGACAACGAGAAAGAAAACTGTCCAACCTACCTCAAAAAGCTACGACGCTAATTTGCAGCGTTGCGGCGCTCAAACATCTATCATCGGTCCATCTAACAGCACCGTGATGCCGAATTTAAAGTGTTTCATCACTAAACTCTTTGTCGTTCCTCCTAGCAAACTTTGTAGCACCGGGGTGCTAGGAAACATAATGCTAGGGAACTCTGATACACAACGTCGGGGCGTTGGGGTACACAACGTCGGAACATTGTTTGGAAAAAAATATTTTCACCCCCCCAGTAAATATCACAAATTGAACTGAGGTCCGAGGTAATAGTACAACCAAATTAATCAATACAATCAAATTTCACACATACTAACAAGATTATTAAATCATGTTATCGTAATTGAGTCTATTATCATCACCCCCACTCTGCCTAAGCCAAAGAGTGACAATAGCTGTTAAAATATCACAATAGATCAAATTAAAAGAAAAGCCATCTCAGTGTGAATCTAATGAGAGCCTTATGAGTGGCTGAAACTGATATTTTTCTATCAACAAAAGACTTAATTAATCATAGGAACTTGCCCTCATAAAAAACATTCAAAATAAGATATAAATTCTTCACAAGGGTGAAACCTCTATCATAGCATGTAATACTTAGGCTTCGTTTGGGACTGCTTTCTTCCTGCTTCTTAAAGCGGTTTTCTAGTTTAAAAATTAAAAATTTTGAACTAGAAAGCAGCTTTAAGAAGCATGAAGAAAGCCGTCCAAAACGAAGCCTTAATTACTTTTCTATCGATGGAAAGATTTATTTCCTCGATTCAAGTGAATCATGAGACCCTTCCGAGCCCACATCGTCACGACAAATTATTACGTCCGGTCACCGGACCTAGAAAATAGGTCCTGACATCCACTAAAAAAAGTTGTCATGCGGACCGCATTTTGATTGTGCCCTTTGACTGCGCTTTGGGTGCGCTTTGACTGCGCTTTACCTGCGCTTTAGGCACGCTTGATTTAAAATTCCACGGACACGTGTACATTCCACGCGTCAAATTTTTATAGTATATTCGGACCTATTTCTAGGTCTGGTGACTAGACGTAATAATTTGCCCACGGCCACAACAACGAGAAAAGCCTTCAGGCAACTATCGAATTTCAACAATAGCAATTTTCAAGTTCACTGGAGCCCGAAGCGATCAGGTCATACATTGTGAGTGAAATTGATACATTTAGAAGTTCTTGGGTCATTTTTCAAATTATTTAGCCCTTAAAAAATGCTCCATTTTAAATGTTCTCATCAAATAGACCAGTTCTATACTTATACTTTAGCAAGAGGGCTGTCTACAGTAAAGCGAATGTAAAGCACAAATATGCTACAGTAGCTGTGTTTTTACTATAGATAGAGCGGATCTCTCTGTCAGGTGACCGGATGCAATAATTTGTCTAGCAAGAGGGCCGAACTTCAGCAGTTACAGAAGCCAACTGCAGCTAAAAAGAGTACTGTACATAAAAAGAGAAATGAGAAATCCTTAGCTTTCAGTATTTCACTCGGATACCTCATCTCCATTATTGAAGTGAGTACTACGCAACCCTAAGCACCAACAAAAGAGAAAGGAAACCACCGCGAAGCTGCCCAATCCCCTCCTTGTCGCCTAATTTAACTTATCGCCGTACAAATTTACTCCCAATTCCTTTCAAATAAAAATATTTCTCAAGTTAAACACCTTCCCCGCCTCTCTCTTGATCGCCTCTTCTTATTTATACGAAATTCATCACCATATATCATCAAAGCGCGACTTTTATCAACCAAATAAGTTTTAAGCAATGCGGAATCTACTAATTCTACTGATATTCACGGTTACCTTCGCTTCGACGGCATCATCTCTGCTCCGAATCCCGGCTGCCAATGTCACACTTGAGCACCTGGACCCTACCCTCCCGCCGGCGCTGACAACGAAGACGCCACCCAAGTGCTCCGTCCTCGTTCTCCACCACGTCTTTGCCAACACAGCCGGCGAGCCGCCGGCCGTCTCGAACTATACCCACCCGCCGGAATGCCCCTTCCCTTGGCCCCGTGTCGTTCTCGAGCTCTCAATCTCAGCCTCCGACGTTCAAAAGGATCGCATCGCCGCCGTATGGCTCGATGGAGCTGAGCTCCTCCGTACCGCCACGCCTGTCCCAATGGCTCCCGGCACGTTCTGGACGGTGCAGAAGGACGTCACCCGCTACACCGCCTTGTTCCGCCGCTTATGCGGCAGCAGCGGCATCACCACCACTGGTATCGTGTCTATGATGCTCGAGAACTCCAACGCCACCCTTCCAGGCGTTTTCGCAGCTAACGTTACGCTTCACTTCTACCGCGGTCCCCTCTCCGGCGAGCGCTTTGGGTATGTGGGGAAAATTTTTTAAATAATAAACAGACCATTAATCATTTTTCTCTTTTAAAAAATTTAGTTATGATGACTTTTAAAACTTTAAAATCTATTTCAAAAGGAATATAATATATATTATATATGAATTTTACTTATTTTAAAATTTTCTTTAAAATTTTTTTGTCAAAACTTTAGATTCAAATCTCGTTTATGTTAAATTTATAACTTAATATTCTTTATTTTTTAAAAAAATAGATAATCTGAGTCGCAAATGATTTTTTTTTTTTTGTGTTTTATTGCCGGCAATTTGATTTACTTACCTCGAACCCATAGGTACGTGGTTCACCCCACCGCGAAGGACCTCTACCGCCGCCCCGCCGATATCATCCTCCCCGTCTCCCAAGACAACGGCGAATGCGGCGCCGGCTTCTGGTTCCGCGTCGAGAACGACACCGACATCCCCGCCGCCGCCGTCGCCATCCCTCGCAACACCCAGCGTGCCGTTCTTGAAATCTTCGCTTCCTACCACGCCCACGACGAATCCTGGTACGCCAATCCCCTTCGTTCCGCCTACGACGGCGGTGGTTCTTTCGCCAACGGCGGATTCCGTCAAATCTACGCTACCGTCGATGGCCAATTCGCCGGCGGACACATTCCTTTCCCCGTCATCTACCCGGGCTCAATAAACCCCTATTTCTGGTCACCGGTTGCGGCAATTGGGGCTTTCAATCTACCGACATATGATTTAGACGTGACGCCTTTTCTGTCGTATTTGTTGGATGGGCAGCCGCATGAGATAGGGCTTGGAGTGAGAGATAGCCAGCCGTATTGGTTGTTGGCGGGAAATCTTCATTTGTGGGTGGATGAGTGGTCGGATATGGTGTCGGCGGGGGTGGTAGAGATGAAAGCGCCGCCGTTGAAGGTGAATCGGCATGCGGAGTGGAGAAATTCCGATGGAGGATCGGAGATCAATGCGGAGGGGTTGGTGAGATTTTCCGGGTGGGTGAGTTCGTCGGAAGGGAATATGACGACGACGGTGAGGCAGAAGGTGAAGTTTAGGAGCCAGGTGGAGGTGCAGAACAGGGGTGCGGTCTCACAGGTACGAAGACGGTGAAAGATAGCTCTTAACAAATAAAAAAGGAGAAATTTTGAGATATGATTTTAAGAAAATTCAAATTAAATTTAAATTAATATAATTTAGAATATTATATATATTTATTAATTTTAATATCATTTAAATAAATTTTTAAGTTCATTATAACATATTTTTATAAAATATATTGATGCAATTTTCCTCTTAAGAAAATGAATTGAATGATATATTGATTTTGATTGTAATATATTTATTATATTTAAATCATATAAAATATGTGATTTTGATTTATAAATAAAATTAAGAATAATAAAGTATTTGTTGAGAAATATTTCATATAAATATTAAAATAATTAAATACTTATATATAATTAATAGAATAATTATTATATAAATTTGCTAATATTATTTTGATAAAAATCATATCAAAATATATAATTTTCTTACCAATCATTATAATAATTAAATTATCAATAATTTATTATTTATATCACACTTATTTTAAATTAAATTATTGACTATCACGGTGGGTTTACATTCCCACCCAATCCATTATCCCTAACAAATAAGTATCCTAGATGAAAAATAATTAAAAAACATTTTTCTTATTGACATAATTTATTTATCTTTTCTTAAGACAAAGAGCAACCCGAATTACTTCTCAATTGAAAGCTATTTTTTACTTACAATTTTAACTAAAATTCATAATTAAAAAGCAAATGTTTACTTACATTTTTCTAAATAATACATAATTAACCCATCGAGGCTTAGGGTGGTCTGGAAGCCCCCATCCCGGGTTCGAATTCCCTCTACTAGAGTCTCGTCTCTTCAATGCGGCAAAAGCAAGTGTGGGTCTAATGCCGGTGGGTGGCCTCGCTAGATTCTGCCAAGGGATTAGTTACGCCGCCAAGTGCTCCCTTTGACCCGTTTCAAAAATAATAATAATACATTATTATAGTTTAAAATCAAAATATTAATCTCTAATAACAATTAAAAAAAGCTAATCCCTTGGCGGAATCTAGCGAATCCCCTCTACTAGAGTCTCGTTTCTTCAATGCGGCAAAAGCAAGTGTGGGTCTAATGCTGGTGGGTGATCTCGCTAGATTCCGCCAAAGAATTAGTTATGCCGCCAAGTGCTCCCTTTGACCCGTTTCAAAAATAATAATAATACATTATTATAGTTTAAAATCAAAATATTAATCTCTAATAACAAATAAAAAAAGCTTCATAGTTACCCTCTCATGCTTTTATCATAACGATCATCAGAGTTCTAACAAAATAGCAATCTTTTTTTGTTTTTTTTTTCAGGTGGAGATGACAAACAAGGAGAGAACATCAATCGCGGTGCTAAAAAATGGGCAACAAACAGTATCAAGAGTTCAAGTGTTCGTAGAAGCCCCACTACAACTACAGACTTCGCGTGTTAAAGCAATGGGCGGGGCTCTGTTTGAGAAGGCAAGGGTAAGCCACCAGCTCCAAGAAGTGGTTAACCTTAATGAGAATGGCCAGGCTTTAGAAGTTAGTGTTTTGATGGATAAACAAGAAGCAGAGGGATCCCTGCTTAAAAGAGATGGGCAATCACAGCCAGTGTGGGGAAGTGGAAGCTCCAGGTCTTCGTATAAGTATAGGGATAGGAACTCTTGTTACTTGCGCAGCTTAACCGCCGTAGAAGGGATAGTCAAGGCAGACTTAATGAGTGCTTCATGCGCAAGTACTGAGATGGCAGAGGCTTAGCTAAAGATTGAGTGAGAATAAAGAGGTTGGGTTTTGTTTGGTAGGAGTAGCTAGCATTTAGCCAGGTATTAGAGCTTTGGTGTCTAGCTAGCTCTAGGGTTTGGTTTCATAGGGAGATGTGAAGAGAATTGAGGAGATTGTGATCTGTTTGTTGTAATCCTTGTATTTGCAGTTGGTCTAGTTATGGAAATAAGAATTTGTGGGTGTTCTTTTTTTTATTTCTTTGAGTTTATTGTACTTCTGAAATAAATTTTATTTAGATGATTTGAAGACATTAATGCTGGAAAGCATGTAGTCAAAATAGAAAAATTATTTTATGAGGATGCTGAACAATGTTCAGAGACCAACTAGAATGCGCCACGTTACCTTGTGCTCGGTGTCGCAGCACGATACCGCTGACGTGGCGTATTTTGGACGGCGTTCTATGCTCGGTCTATGCACATAATAATTTTTCATCAAAATAGGGACGATCTAAGGGAGGCCAATGTCTTCTATGTTTTTATAACATAAATCTCTCTCTCTCTATATATATATATATATATATTAATATGTTATTAATGTTATTGAATATTTTTAATGAGGTTGTTATGTGCTTTTGGTGATCACAATTTGCATGGAATATTTATTATGATAAGAAGAAGAGAAATGGGACTCTTTGAATCTCTAATTATTAAAGAAAACCACATGATTTGCAATGAAGAACGTCGTAAAGAAAAAATGGGTTAGTGGAAGTGATTGTAGTATAAGAAAATAAAAAATCTTCATACTATCACATTGATGAAATTATAAGAGATAAGTTTTACAAACACCTCAAGACTCTGAAATATGAAAATTTAGGAAAACGAGCGATTCTAACCGCGTCGGATGGAGATTCAAGTTGAAGGAGGCATGTCGAAGTTTAATGAAAGTTTCAATTTTGCTCATTAGGGACATTTTAGTCATTTTAACCCCTAGTCAACTTGGGGTCAAAGTAGGTCCACCAAGATGTAGTTTAATACTTAACATATTATAGTCAAGGGTCTATATATGATCAAAAGACTTGGGGACAGCTATGGTGACATATGTCATAAATATTTGAAAGTCTTACAACATTTGGATTTCAATTTAGTTGTTGGGGTTAGTGACCTCAGACATGCCTAATCAATATGCAATTGATAAATCATGATTTGAGGGTCATTTGACTAAGGTTTGAAATGTTTAAAAAATTATTGAAAAAAGGCTTTCAGGGCATATGCCTTTTAACCCTGAATTTGGTATGGATTTCTGGAGTTGAGCTAAATTTTGAAATTGATTACTTGAATTTGAATTATCCACATCACTCACAATCAAATGGATGATTGTAAATGATTGGATATGATTGAAACTATATTGTGAATTGGCTTGAATGATGGATTGAGGTTTGAACTATGATCTGGATTCTGGTTTGAACTTGGAGCTAGATAGTGATTGAATCGAAGTTTTGGATGATTGACAGTTGGGTACTTCTCAACCATTAGATTAATGGGCAGGAGTATGGGTTTAATTTGAATCTAAGTTGAATCATGAATTGAAGTCTAGATGATTGACACTTGGAGAAATGTCAACCAACATATTGATTAGGTGAAGATATGGATGGGTCCCTATGTCCTCATACAAAAATGAGGTCAACACTCTCAAACTATTATACTTCTTCCCCAATATTCTTAACCTCTAGCTTCTTTCTACGAAGTCCCACCCTCCTAAAACAAGGAAAAAAATTCTTATGCTACTTGCAACTAGTCGAACAAAATTTAAGCATCTTTGACCTAATTTGGCTCTCCCTCCTCCACCATCTTTTGAACTCCTTGGATCCTAATGAAAAACTCCATATCACATCTTAGCACACTCTCTTGTTTTCCCAAACCTCTTCGACCCCAAAAGTTATCAATGAATTGATCCACTAATCACATATTTGAAGACTTGCTAAAAGGAGTCAAAATTGGGCACATCAACCTAGTTTTGATGAAACCTTCGCTAAATATTTCTAAACTTATGAAATCCCTTTCAAAAGCTCCTAATTAGATTGTTGTCCTTCCTTTAGAACTTCAAAGAGAATTCATGGCCTAAATCTCCCTTTATGCTATAGCCCAAAATATAACCGACTCTCCTCATTTGATTTACATGATTTCCCCTTATTTTTATTATATATTTATATTAAGAAAATAAAGATTTTTATAAAAGTTATGATAATTTTCATATTAATTTGTCATTCTAACTTTATTTAGAAAAAAATGCATTGATTTTAAAATTTCTAACATATAAATTCATGAAAAAAAAACTTTTAACATGAGGCGTGACATTCTGCGCTAATATTTAAGTATGCAATTTTTTTTGGACATAGACTCGAACCCTGAACCTCTTAGCTGGAAGCCTAAGCTCTCAACCAATAGGCCAAGGAGAGTTGTGTATTTAAGTATGCAATTGATCCAAATTTATTTATTATTGGTATTATATGCAAAAATGGACAGCGCAAAAATGGCTTGTTCTCTACTAATCGTACATTTCTGAAATAAATTCTGGATTGTCAAACAAGCAACCCTCTTCATTCGGGCAAATTATTGCATCAGGTCACCTGACGGAGAGATCCGTTTGGATTCTCTCTGTCTATAGTAAAGCGCAGATTACTGTAACACACTTGCACTTTACTGTAGACAGAAAGAAATCCGAACGAATCTCTCCCTATGCAATAATTTGCCCTTCATTCGGCTTGGGTTTATAAGTTGAACTATAAAGACTTAGCCAGTGAAGCGGGCCGCAGATGAGCCATCGACATCTTGTACTATCTCTCTCTCTACTCCCTTCACGCTTTCTTTCTGCGGCATCGCTTGTCCACTTGAAAGTGCGAACCCTACGAAAGAATCAAAGTAGTCCAGCCAAAGAACAAAGCGTTTGCTCGCTTTTCCTTTTGCTTGCGTTCTCCGTTGTCTATACCGAAATTTCTTGGTGAATCCTCGTCCTCATCGCCGATCGTATTAGGTTTAGGTTATGGTATTTGTTTCTGATTTGAGGTTTTTCCGTAGCTCTATATGCTTACTGGAAAGAGAGCCTGTGAAGCTGATGTAGAGGAAGACGGTGTTGTCATAGAAGAAGCGTCGAAGAAGGCCAGAGCGGAGGAATACGTGATTTCGTCAACTTCGGGTGCGCTGGCAGAGGGGTACAATCACGGGCCACTGATGGATTACGAGGTAGCCAACGGGAAAAATTCGATGGAGATCGATGAAGATCTCCATAGTCGGCAGCTCGCCGTCTACGGGAGGGAGACCATGCGGCGGCTTTTTGCCTCCAGTGTTCTGGTCTCTGGTCTCCAAGGCCTTGGCGCCGAGATAGGTAACTAGGAGATCTGGATCTTGTTTTAAACACTTCTGTTTGTATTTCTTTCTGGATTTATGCTGCTTAACTCCCCTGGTAGGAGGAAGCAGGAATATGACCAGGATGCTACAAGCTTTTTTCTTATACTTCTGATTCGTAGCAATTTATGATGTTTATAATACTTCTATATTATGGATTGCATAGTTGCTATTGTAGTGAGTATTATCTTGCTCTGAAGTTTTGTTCTGGACTGTTAGTGTAATATTTACTCTTGATTTTGTGACCTCTATATATTCTTTATGCTATATAACTCTGTATATATTGACTTGTCATTGGAGTTTGAATGCGACGTGTTTCTTCTGTCTGTTCTCGTTAGTGAAATTGCCTTGTGTTAATCTGTTCAGATAGTGAGATTTTCTATAGTGCATTCTCGTGATTTGGAGTAAGTTTAGATTGCTACTCATTTTCCCTTGTAAAATTTAAATGTTTTTTGCTGCTTTACACAATCTTTCGGAAAACAGAAGACATACTTCGCTGATTTTGTGACAATGTTTACAGAATGTAAAAGTACTCAACGATGTGTAATATTATATAGGCCAATCACTTTAGTGTTATCGGGTATTTAGTATTTACACTCAACCATCTTATAGTATTTGAAACGGACACATACCCTATCTACTTTAAAAAAATATACAGATAACCTCCACATATATTTGAAGATTAGTTAACATTTCATGGGGATTATCTATTTGTTTTTGAAGCTTTTGATCATGTTTAGTGCCCGAATCAGGATTTCTTCATAACTACAAAATGGTTTATCCCAAATAAGGTTTAAAAAGATGAAATCAGTAATTGAGACATTTTGCTTTGTTGAGGCAAAGTTGAAGCTTTGAGGTGGATCTCAGCATAAACCTTGAACTAAAAATATAAAAACTCTAAAACTAAAGTATTTCATAAATATGTCTTAAACTATCAATATATTAACTTAATTAATCATCATAAACAATAAAATCACACAATAAGGAGAAGAAAATAAATCTCGAATCTTAAATCTTAATCTAATACTTTTAATTCTTAAGTTAAACAAGATTCAAGTTAAGCTCTAAGTTAAAACTCAAATATTCCATTAGGATAAATATATACTCCGTCCTCTTCTTCAGTTTCAATTAAAAAAGTAAAAAAAAAACTAAACTGACATTTAAAAAAAAATTTAAAAAATGGTAATAAACTAATTAAAATTTAATAAAAAAATACAGCACCTAATGAAAAAAAAAAAGAAATGAAAAAAATCAGCATCTACCTTTAATGCTCGATGTCAAAGTTGAATCTTGCTCGTTTGTCGCAGCAATGGATTGCCACCTAACACACAACTCCCACTTGCATGTGATGCAACTCTTTCTTGCCTACAACACCCTCGATGCTCCCACTCACGGCTACTTGCCCTCCTCTTAGACCTTAACTCTCTATCTTCAAATCAGTTTAAACTCTCAATCTAAAAATTATATACTATCATCAAGTTGAGGCATTCACTGCATGCGCCACGATTGAAAAAGAAATAAGCCTCACTCAAGCCAAATAAATTGTAAGCCGTTAGGCGCTTATTTGGTGCTTGCTTCATGGTGAGGCATGTCTCAAGTTGGGTTCCCTGAACACTTTTTATACCACGATCCTAAACCTAGAGGGTGTGAAGGCATCTTCAAACACGTTTTGGTTCTACCGTTGGTCATGTTTATTTCAAATTCCACATGAGGATTGTAGTTAAACAAAGCTAATTTTGTTGTTTCTGTTGTTGATGATATGTTAAGTAAATGCCCCCCATTTAATTGTTCATTAGTTTTCCTAAATTATTCTTACCATTTTTTCATTCTAGTCTTTATTGCTCATCATGGACTGCTTATTTCTCTTTGCTTTCTCTTCTTGCAGCAAAAAACCTAGTCCTTGCAGGCGTTAAATCTATCACGTTGCATGATGAAGGCAAGGTGGAGCTTTGGGATTTATCCAGCAATTTCTATTTATCTGAAGATGACGTCGGAAAGAATCGAGCTATGGCTTGTGTTCAGAAGTTACAAGAGCTGAATAATACAGTTATAATATCTACCATAACTGTTGCTTTGTCAAAGGAACAACTTTCAGATTTCCAGGTTTGTCCTACATAAACACTGTTGATTGCATTGCATCTACCAATTTCACACATACTTCAGTGGTCTAACTTTGAGCCTACGATTGTTTTTTCACATTTTTATCTCTCTTTTGAAAAAAATAATGTTTAATTATATAGTTATATATGTAGATAGGTTCTATGACTGAATTATATGGTATATGTAGGGTTTATTTGTTTTTATACAAAATTTGTATGAACAAGATCCTTTGTTAATTTATTTAAGGCTGCCTTTTTAATTTATGGTTAGCTGATTGGTTACCGGATTTTTATGTTTCAAAATTTTCATGGACATTGTAAATATTGATTTTTATTTTTCTCTTTTGTGCTAGGGGCATGCTAAAGTCATCCATAAGTTGCATGCTTGCAATTTGGTTGCATGAGTGATACCCATGTTTGTTCTCCTATCAATGAAACCCTTCAGATAGGCACGGCTTTATAGTGCGATTCATAAAACAAGAAAAAAAAAACATGTAAAGGTTATTTCATTTATCTTATATGTGCACAGATTAAGAATTCCCTTGAAACTATCTGTCAAGTTAACAAATACGATGTTGTTTATAAACTCTCAATTTCTCAAGTATGGTTTTGTGCTATGCACTTTCAACAAAGCAGACTCGTTCAGTAATATTACCTGTAATAATCCAAAACTCGCCTATCTATAATTCAATCTCACTTTTCTTCGGTCCAATCTGAAAAGGCTTTTTGTTTTGGTTTTATGGCTACATAAAACAATACCAAATCATTTTGGCCCACGTCAATCGAAAAAATAAAATAAAAGATTTCATTTTGTCAAATAAAAGAAAGGAGTTATAAGAGAAGGGCTATGGAGAGTTCTTGAAAAGAAAGGAGTTAATAATGCTTATATTCAAATCAATAAAGATATGTATGCAGGAGCTATTACTTGTGTTCAAACAAAAGGTGGTTTGACCAAGTATTTTCTTATTTCAGTTTGGATTACATCAAGGATCAGCCTTAAGCTTATATCTTTTTGCTTTAGTCATGGATGTTCTCACTAGACATTTGCAAGAGGATGTACCTTGGTGTATGCTTTTTGGTGATGATATTCTTCTCGTTGATAAGACTAGAGAGGGAGTTGATGGTAAAGTTAAATTATGGAGGTCAACCTTAGAGTCTAAAGGTTTTCCCTTGAGTAGATAAAAAACTGAATATTTGGAGTGCAGTTTTAGTAGCAATAGACCTAGTGAGGGGATTATGACTTTGGGCGATCAAGTCATTAATAAGAGTACACATTTTAGATATATTGGATCTATTGTTCAGAGTGATGGTGAAATAGATGGGGATGTTATCAGTAGAATTCAAGTTGGATGGTTGAAGTGGAGGAATGCATCGGGCTTATTGTGCGATAGAAAAATCTCCCTCAAACTTAAGAGAAAATTTTATAAGATGGTGGTGAGACCTGCAATGCTTTATGGTGCCGAATATTGGCCGTTAAAAGAGAAGCATAATACTAAGTTAAGTGTTGTAGATATGAGGATGCTTAGGTGGATGAATGGCTTTATCTTAGGGATAGGATATGAAATGAGCATATAAGTGAAAAGGTTGGAGTAGCTCCAGTGGAAGATAAGATTAGAGAGAGTTGCCTTAGATGGTTTGGTCATATTAAACAGAGGCCTTTCGATGACCCGGTTTGGAAAGTTGAGGTATTAGATTTGACTTATGTTAAGAAAGGTAGAGATAGATCTAAAAAGAATTGGCTAGAAAATATTAGAAATTATCTTTCTTTATTAGATTTAAATGAGAATTTGACTTTTAACAGGACACAATGGCGAAAAAGGATTCATGTAGCCGACCCACCGTAGTGAGACAAAGGCTTAATGTTGTTGTTGTTGTGTTTTGCCAAATAAAACGACACTCTTCTAACAATGTTACCCCTGAAAACTTGAAAGCAGTGAATTTTAACTCTTAGCTGTTCTTTAGACAATGAAAATTTAAACGCTTGGTCCACCACTCAATGCAAACTTGCCTCTCATCCATAATCTCAGATCACCCTTGCACCGTATTCTACAACTTGTGTAAACTGTTTCAGTGAACCTGCTGATACTAAATATTAAAGAAAAAAATTTCCTAGCATATGCCATATGATGACCTATAAACAAATCAACATCAAGAGATTTTCACCTATGAGGCTATATTGCTATAACAAATTTGATTCCACCCATCTTTTCTTTCCATATATCTATCTGTCTCCTCTTTCTTTTTCCTCATCTTTTTCCTCCAAAATTTTCATCCATCATGCTAGCAAGAGTGGATGAGATTAACTCCTCTAATTTTGTTTGAAATCTTGTAATTAGGGGTGTAAGTGAGCCGAGTCGGCTCAAGCTCGACTTGTTAACGAGCTCGTGAGTCGAGCTTATTGAGCCATGAGTTCAAGCTCGAGCTCGAGCTCATATATTAAACAAGCTTGACTTAGCCTGACTCAGCTTGAAAGCTCGTTGAGCCGCTCAATTGAATTAAAATATATTTACCAATTAATTTAAATTAGCAATATATAATATATTTAATATTTTTAAATTAATTGTATATTAAAAAAAAACTAAGAAATCAAGCTCAACAGTTGAGTCGAGCTCGAGCTTTCTAAACGAGCTCAAGCAATTGAGTCGAGTTCGAGCCTACAAAATTTTTAACGAGTTGAGCTCGAGCTTAGTAAACAAGTTTGAGTCGAGCTCGAGCTCAATAAGAGCTTAACAAGCTTAGCTCGATTAGGCAAATACTTGACTCGACTAGACTTATTTACACCCTTACTCATAAGGAGTGGGTGCTTCTCCTCTGATTCAGAGATTCTTTATAAATGACTCCTATTGAGTGGAGCAAAAATGAAGAGGAGAGTTGGCAATTGGATTATAAAGCTTTACTGGAACGAGGGGTGGAGTTACAGTGGGGGCCATGGGGGCATGGTCCCCCACTGGCCCTTTAACATATAGCAAAGCCCACAACAAAATTGGCCTATACATAAACAACATAAAGTCCACAATCTAGCCCAGACATAACCATCACAAAGCCCAAAACAAAACCGTAACAACGTACAACAATAACCTAGAACAAAGGGGTTGAGATTCATACTCAACTCTCTCTGGCTTTAGATGAATCAACACTACCAACTAAGTAATCGAGTAGTTGTTGCTTCTCTTACTATTTTATATTTATATTATAATTAAATCTAATCTTTACATAAATTTATTTTTTTATACTAATGCTTAAATATTAAAGTTGAAATAAAGTAATTATAGATTTATGTCTAGTACAATTAATAGATTATCAATTTTGAAAAATTATTATAAATAAATATTAATATTTTTTTAAAGATCAAAATATTACATAACTATAAACTATTAAATAGAAAAGCAAAAATAAAAAATAAAAATCACCCGAAAATGTTTGAGAGTAATTTGGAAATTATCAATTTGTGTCCCCTCTAATAAATTTTTTTTGCTCCACCCCTAATCGGAACAATGCTGTGACTGTGGTTGTAACTCGGGCCAGCCTAGCACTAGCTCGACCCTTGCCGCAAAAAATTTGGATATTATTATATTAATAACTTGGCTGATTTGGCCATTTAATAAAAGGGGTTTGCTGAAATTTTACAGGGGCCAGCCCATATATTAAACGGTTGGCCTATTTAGGTCTATTATGGCATGTAAAAATTCATATAGGTGCCCAACAAAGTGCCTAGCTTGCAAAACATTTTAGAAATGAGTTCTTAATTTGAAATGTAGCAGATTTATTTTGAGCACTAATTTTGAAGGAATTTCAGAAGGAGGCAGTTGAACCTTTTTGAACATTTCCAACGAAAAAACACCTCTTTCTTCAAGAAATAATATTCCTGTCTTTCTATTCACTTTCCACTTAGGCAGAATTTTGGACAAAAAAAAACTCATATTAATAACTACATATTTTACCTTTTGTTTAAATTTTTAATTGGTAATTTTTTGAAGTATTTTTTTATTACAAAGATTACATTGCGCTTTTAATGTTGTTCTTTCGAATGTGTTGTATCATGAAGTTATTGTCTAAAGAATAGATTGGATCATGAATAGGTTTTCCAAAAATCTTAAATTAAGATAAATTATACTTAAGAGATTTTGATAAATTAGACATCCCATAGGCAGAAATTTTTATTAGAGATTTGAATATTATTTTGAAAACTAAAAAGATGCCATAGAAGGGGAAAATCAATATGTTGGTTCCTATTTTCAAGAATAAATGTGATGCACAATAATGTACGAATTATAGAGGAATTAAGTTAATGTGTCACACTTCAAAACTATGGGAGAGAGTTATAGAGCATAGGTTGCAACGTGACATTAATATTTTTTCAAAATCAAACTTGTTTCATGCCAGGTAGGTTTACTATGGAAGCTATACATTTATTGAGAGGTTTGATGGAGAAGTATAGAGAGAATAAGGAGGATATACATATGATTTTTATTAATTTAGAGAAAGCACATGATAAAGTTTCAAGAAAAGTGCTATGGAGAGTTTCTAGATAAGAAAGGGGTTTATAATGCTTATATTCATGTCATTAAAGATATGTATGTTGTAGTTGTTACTTGTGTTCAAACACAAGGTGGTTTGACCAAGTATTCCTATTTCAGTTGGATTACATTCAAGGATCAACCTTAAGCCCATATCTTTTTGCTTTAGTCATGAATGTTTTCACTAGACATTTGCAAGAGGTTGTACCCTGGTATATGCTTTTTGCTGATGATATTCTTCTAGTAGATAAGACTAGAGAGGGAGTTGAAGGTAAACTTAAATTATGGAGGTCAACCTTAGAGTATAAAGGCTTTCTTTTAAGTAGATCTAAAACTGAATACATGGAGTGGTCGGGGGATTGTGACTTTGGGTGATCAAGTCATTAATAAGAGCACACATTTTAGATATCTTGGGTTTATTGTTCAGAGTGATGGTGAAATAGATGGGGATATTATTAGTAGAATCCAAATTGGATGGTTGAAGTGGAGGAATGGATCAAACTTGTTGTGTGATAGAAAAGTCCATCTCAAACTTAAGGGAAAATTCTATTAAGATGGTTGTGAGATTGCAATGATTTATGGTGCAGAATGTTAGCCATTAAAAGAGAAGTATAATATTAAGTTATGTTTTGTAGAGATGAGGATGCTCAGGTGGATGAGTGGCTTTACTCTTAGAGAAAGGATACAAAATGAGCATATACGTGAAAAGTTTGGAGTAGCTCCTGTGGAAGATAAAATTAGAGAGAGTGGCATTGTATGGTTTGGTCACATAAAACGGCGGCCTTTCAATGACCCGATTAGGAAAGTAGATGTATTAGATTTGACTTAGGTTAAGAAAGGTAAAGGTAGACCTAAAAAAGACTTAGTTAGAAAATATTAGAAATGACATTTTTTATTGGATTTAGATGAGAATTTGACTCTTAACATGACACAATGAAGAAAAATGATTCATGTAGCCAACCCCATACAGTGGGATAAAGGCTTGTTGTTGTTGTTGTTGTATATTGTTATTATCATATATTTTTTTGCTGAATGTTACATTTCTCATTGTTAATACCTAGGTTTAGGCTGTCAATGTTACACAAGTCTTAGACTTGGTTTGCTTAAAAAATAGATGGAATACTTTTAATATTTACATCACATTTTGAATTGGAACTTGTTGCTGATTTTTGTTTTTTTAGGATTCAAGTGTGGTTTCCTTACCGACTCCTTTGTTGTTCCTATTCATCTGTTCAACTCTGTGGCCATGATTGATGGCTGCTGCTTATATTTTTATTTCCATGCTTCTTACGTGAGCATTCATTATGCATTAGCTATTAATGTGTTCTAACATATCCTTTTTAAATCTATACTGTGCAGGCTGTTGTGTTCACTGATATTAGCTTAGAGAAAGCCATTGAGTTTGATGATTACTGCCACAATCACCAACCCCCAATTGCTTTCATAAAATCTGAAATACGAGGCCTTTTTGGTAGTGTGTTCTGCGATTTTGGTCCAATGTTCACAGTTGTGGATGTTAATGGAGAGGAACCTCATACAGGGATCATTGCATCTATCAGTAATGATTGCCCTGCACTTGTGTCATGTGTTGATGATGAGCGGCTGGAATTTCAGGATGGTGATCTTGTTATATTTTCTGAAGTGCAAGGAATGATAGAGCTCAATGATGGAAAACCACGGAAAGTTGTTAATGCAAGGCCATATTCTTTTGCTCTGGAAGAAGACACTACTGGGTTTGGCACATACAACAGAGGTGGTATTGTAACACAGGTGAAGCAACCTAAAGTCCTGCAATTCAAGCCTTTAAGAGATGCATTGAGAGATCCTGGCGACTTCCTTCTAAGTGATTTTTCTAAGATCGATCGCTCACCTCTGCTACATTTGGCATTTGAAGCATTGGATGCCTTTCGGCATGAATTTGGGCATTTCCCTGCTCCTGGATCCGAGGAAGATGCTCAGAAACTAACAAATTTTGCTGTCAGTATCAATGAGAGAAAGAGTAACTGTAAGTTGGAAGAGATTGATAGGAAACTTCTCTATCATTTTGCAAGTGGTTCAAGAGCTGTCTTGAATCCCATGGCAGCAATGTTTGGTGGTATTGTTGGGCAAGAAGTTATGAAGGCTTGCTCTGGAAAGTTCCATCCCCTTTTCCAGGTTATTATTTATAACTATTTGATTTTTCTATTTTCTTCCGTCTCTATTATGTTTTAATGAAAGTGGTATTCCTTTAGTCTAACGTTTGTTTGGCCTGCTTGCTGGACAGTTTTTTTATTTTGATTCAGTGGAATCGCTCCTTCCTGAGCCTCTGGACCCTAATGATCTAAAACCATTGAATTCCCGATATGATGCTCAAATCTCAGTATTTGGAGCCAAGCTTCAGAAGAAATTGGAAGAAGCCAATGCATTTATAATAGGGTCTGGCGCTCTTGGATGTGAATTCTTGAAGAACCTAGCATTAATGGGGGTTAGCTGCAGCCCAAAAGGAAAGCTAACAATAACAGATGATGATGTCATTGAGAAGAGTAACCTCAGTCGCCAGTTTCTCTTCCGTGACTGGAATATTGGGCAGGCTAAATCCACTGTGGCAGCAGCAGCTGCTACGGCAATCAATCCGTCTTTTCATATCGAGGCTTTGCAAAATCGAGCAAGTCCTGAGACAGAGAATGTGTTTGATGATACTTTTTGGGGGAGCTTAGATGTTGTTATCAATGCTTTGGACAATGTAACTGCCAGGATGTATATAGATGGAAGATGTTTGTATTTTCAGAAGCCATTGCTGGAATCTGGGACACTTGGTACTAAGTGTAACACACAAATGGTTGTACCTCACCTTACTGAGAATTATGGAGCATCCAGAGACCCCCCAGAGAAGCAGGCACCTATGTGCACGGTCCACTCGTTCCCCCACAACATTGATCACTGCTTGACATGGGCTAGGTCCGAGTTTGAGGGCATACTTGATAAGACGCCCAATGAAGTGAACAAGTTTTTAGCTAATCCAAGTGAATATCTTGCTGCTATGAAGGCTGCAGGTGATGCCCAAGCAAGGGATCTTCTTGAACGTGTTGTGGACTGCCTTGATACGGATAGATGTGATACCTTTCAAGAGTGTGTCACTTGGGCACGGCTCAGGTATAATTTCTTAATTTCTTTTCCCTCTACTTGGCAGCATGCTATGTTTTCTAACAAAACTATCCTAATGATTATGCTTCTTAAAGCACTTGGCTCTATCTTCCAGCACTTTGAACTGGAAAACTGATCTAATTTCTGTAATTGCTGCTAGGATATCTGTCCAATCAAACAAAAAACAGTTTGATGGCATGCACTTGGACTGCATTTTCTGAATAGCTCTGTTTTTTTTTTTCAACAAATCTGGAGGGTTGTCTCACCCTATTTTGACTTTCCTTTAGTCAACCATGAGGTGTAATAAAAATGGACAATCTAGGTAGACTTATTTTCCACTTACACCCATCCTGAATTTTTTAATGGTATTAGGATCGAATGAGTAAAAAATACTATGGCTAGATCATCACAAAATATAACACATTCTTTAATATATTCATCATAATCATTAATGTGGAAGCATGTATAATTTAAATCATCAAAATAAACTACAAACCTTTTAATACTTTTATATAAATTTTATACATATCATAAGTCCTTAATTTACTTAATTCACATAATGTACATTCTTTTATATATTACATTTCATAATTATACATCCACCGATAATATTATGATACATAATAACGGTGTCACCGGTGTGTGGTCCAGTAATCATTGTAATATCTATTAGCTAAATGTTTATTGAGATAATAAATAATTCAGTTTAAAGTTCAAACATATAAAAATGAAATAATAATATGCATGATTGTCTTTCGAACTTACATAAGTATTTGTGATGAGGTCATCGATAGGAGATTTCGGCGCGTCTATCAGAGACGACCAGGGAGATCGACGGCCATGATGGAGAGCCTCTATTATTGATTTTATTTGTACTAGCAATTTATATGTTATGCATTTATTTTCTTAGTTTTTCCCATTTTACCCCTGAGGGTATTAGTTGCTCTTGTAGCCCTAAGGGGCATTTTAGACTTTTGCATTTACTTTTATTTGGAGCCTATTTATATGGCCCCTTGTATCTTGTATGAGATTATTGAATTATTGAATGAAAATTTGTTTTGTGTTCTCTTTGTGAGTGCCATTCTTTGGATCTCTTTGTGAGTTCCTTTAGAGATCTCTTAGTGAGTTCTCGAGGTCGTTACATGCTACCCTCATCTTCTCTACCCAAATCTCCCGCAAGCAATAGTCAACCGTTGGAAGGAGCCGAATTTTCGTGAGCATTTTTTCATCCTTGGAGCCCAACCCGCCGGCCACCCTAGTCCCGCCGGTCGGCCACCCTCCCTCTCCACCACTTCTCCCCTTCTCTTCCCCCCAACTCCTCATTGAAATTTGATTTTCAAATTTAAATTTATGAATTTGTTTGGATGAGCAGGATTTTATTTATTTATTTGGAATTAAGATTTTTTTTGGTTATCTACTATTATCATGATTATTGTCTTGTAACAAGTTTAGGGCTAGTTTGCAATTTTAGTTTATATTTTTAAAAACTGTTGTGTCAAGTTTCCTTCAAGTAGGATGTTAAGATAAGTTCAATGAAAAAACTACTTTTCATATTTAGTTTTCTAGTTTCTATCTTGACCATTTGAGAAGTTCATTTATTGTTAATTGTGGGATTAATATCAACAATTTGATAATTTACTTTTTTTTTCTTTTATTTCTTTCTATTTTATATCGGCATTCTACCATTTCACTACATACCCTGCAACAATTTGTCATTAGAGTAAAATTCCTCTAAACCTCTTATTTATTTTCATCAAATGATACCATTTTTTTTCTTTGTTTCGTCAATTTTTTGCTTTTTACCACTTTTTAAATTATTTCTACAATTTTAGCCTAGCATCATTCTCTTATAATTTCTTTTTTGGGTTAAATCCCTAATTTTTATATAATTTACACACTTCTCTGCATCACCTTTATTTTTAAATATTGGATTCAAGTCATTGAGGATACGTATGCTAGAACTGTTATTTGTGTTCAAGGTGGTTTGACCAAGTATTTTCCTATTTAAGTTGGATTACATCAAGGATTAGATCTAAACCATATCTTTTTTTCTTTAGTCATGGATGTTCTTACTAGACATTTGCAAGGGCAATGTACCTTAGTGTATGCTTTTTGCTGATGATATTCTTCTTGTGGATAAGACTAGAGAGGAAGTTGAAGGAGAGCCTGAATTATGGAGGTCAACTTTAGAGTCTAAAGGTTCGTATTTGAGTAGATCCAAAACTGAATACATGGACTGTAATTTTAGTAGTGATAGATTTATTTGGGGGGGGGGTTATAAATTTGGTCGATCAAATCATTAAAAAGAGTACACATTTTAGATGTCTCATACTTATTGTTCAAAGTTATGTTGAAATTGTTGGGAATATTATTATTAGAATTCAAGTTTGATGGTTGAAGTTGGGGAAATATGGTGGGCCTGTTGTGTGATGGGAAAATATCCCTTAAACTTAAGGGAAAATTCTATACGATGGTGGTGAGACCTACAATGCTTTATGACACAAAATGTTAGCCATTAAAAGAAAATATAAAATTAAGTTAAGAGTTGCAGAGATGAGGATGCTCAGATGGATGAGTGGTTTTACTCTTAGAGACAATGTGAAACAAATATTTACGTGAAAAGGTTGTAGTAGCTCTAGTGGCAGATAAGATTAGAGAGAGCTGACTTAGATGGTTTGGTCACATAAAACGTCGGCCTTCCGATGACTTAGTTAGGAGAGTATATGTATTAAATTTGGCCTATGTTAGGAAAGTAGAGGTAGACCTAGAAAGACTTGGTTAGAAAGTTTAGAAATGACGTTTTATTAGATTTAAATGAGAATTTGACTTTTAATAGGATAATGGAGAAAAAAGGATTCGTGTAGCTAACGTCGCATAATGGGTAAAAGGCTTGTTGTTGTTGGGGTTAAATCCCAAAATTAATTATAGTTCTTGATGTTGTTTAAATTTGGCACAGTTAAAATTGTTATTGATGTGGCAATTCTAAATTATTTGTTAATTTTGTGTGTTTCAAATTTTTTTAAATATCTTTGAATTTATTCAATCATTACATTATTGTTTGAGTTTTAGTTCACATATATTTTTCTTTAGACCTAAAAAAGTGGTGTTTTTACCATTTTAAGTGGCATTATGCGAACCATAATTTCTTTTGCATGATCCATTGTCATTACATAATTTTAGTTGCATCAGGAAATCTAAACTCTAAATTTCCCACATTTATGTAGGCAAAGGGGGGGGGGGGGTCAAAACATGAGCCTAATTTTTTGGTTTGTAATTTTAGTAAGCTTATATATCCTCTACTTAATTAAGCTCATTAATGTCTTTAGGAATACTTTTTCAGCTCATAAATAGGATTTATGTTTGGTTCATTCCTCTTTCTCCCCCTCTTTGAGTCCCTTCGGTTTTCCCCTCCTGGTTCTTCTTCTTGTGGCTGGTTCCTTCCCCCCTTTAATTGCCTGTTTCGGTCCCCTAGTGGCTGCTTGTCCCAATTTCCTGGCTGTCCGTCCAGGTTCCCCTAGCTGTTGTCCCGGTTCCCTGTGCTGCCCCTTCGGTTCCTCCCCTGGCTGCTTGTCCCGTGGCTATTTTTTCATGATTTTTGTGTGGCTGTTTGGGAGCTGTTTTGGAATGAATGCAGACCCCCTTTGTGGTTGTTTGGGTGCTGTTATGGATTGAACTTTTGGCCTTCTATTTCCCATGATTTAATGGGTTAATTAGTGGTTATGGTGGTTGTTTGGCTGTCTCTTTTCTCCTATAAATATAAGGTATTTTTGTAAAAAAAAGAGAGTTTATGAAAGTAATTTTTGGAAGAAACTTGAGGGTTTTCTTTGATAGCTTGCGAGCTATATATCCCCTTCTCCTTTTTCTAGGATAGCTTGCGAGCTATGCCTTCTCTTCGTCTCGGCTTCTTACCTCCTCCTCTCCGCAAGGTTGAATCCACTTGTATCCTTCTTCTCAAAGCGACAGATGAAATGCAATTTTAGGAATTCGTATGCGTTGTTTTGATTTTATGTCAAAGTTTGTAAGCGTCGTTTGTAAGCGTCATTTTTATATTATAAAGTTGTTTTAAGTTGTCTTTTGTGTATTTTCTATATCCTATAGAGTCTTTTCTTTTGCTAGCAAAAATTAGAATTTTCCTAATTTTTTTCTTGCATCAATTTGGTATCCGAGCAGGTTGTCGTGTGTGTCTTGTTGTCATGTATGTGAGTGTCATGTGAATTTATAGTTGTGTGTAAGTCTTGGTTATTGTGCGAGTTTTGGTTGTTGTTTGAGTGTCATGTGAGTATGTGGTGTCGGTGAATCTAAGCTTTTGTTGGGTATTCCTTTATTTTAATTCAGGATGGATAAACATTAAGTGAAAAGAAGTCAAGAAAGTAAGCCCAATGAACTTGAAGAATCTATTCCTAAAAGTCAATGGATCTCGCCTCAAGAAAGTTCTTCAGACCCGATACAGATCAAACTTATCAAGATTCAAGAACAATTGCAATTATGTGCTGAGGGATACGAGTCTAAGAAGCGTTCACTTATAGAAGAATTTGAACGAGAAAAGGAAACCATCAAATGAAAGTATGATATTCTAATTCAACAATTTGAAATGCCGGATCTCCAAAATTTTGAAGACAACTCATCGGGAGATGAGTTTTTTCAACCGGAGGAGAATTTGATGTAGGCAAAGGGGGGTTCAAAACATGAGCCTAATTTTTTGGGTTGTAATTTTAGTAAGCTTCTGTCCTATACTTAATTCAGCTCATTAATGGCTTTAGGAATACTTTTTCAACTCATGAATAGGATTTATGTTTGGTTCATTCCCCTTTCTCCCCCTCTTTGAGTCCCTTCAGTTTTCCCCTCCTGGTTCTTCTTCCCGTGACTGGTTCCTTCCCCCCTTTAATTGCTTGTTCCGGTCCCCTAGTGGCTGCTTGTCCCGTGGCTATTTTTTCCTGGTTTTTGTGTGGCTGTTTGGGAGTTGTTTTGGAATGAATGAAGGCCCCCTTTGTGGCTGTTTTGGTGATGTTCTGGACTGAACTTTTAGCCTTTTATTTCCCATGATTTAATGGGTTAATTAGTGGTTATGGTGGTTGTTTGGCTGTCTCTTTTCTCCTATAAATATAAGGTATTTTTGTAAAAAAAAGAGAGTTTATGAAAGTAATTTTTGGAAGAAACTTGAGGGTTTTCTTTGATAGCTTGCGAGCTATATATCCCCTTCTCCTTTTTCTAGGATAGCTTGCGAGCTATGCCTTCTCTTCGTCTCGGCTTCTTACCTCCTCCTCTCCGCAAGGTTGAATCCACTTGTATCCTTCTTCTCAAAGCGACAGATGAAATGCAATTTTAGGAATTCGTATGCGTTGTTTTGATTTTATGTCAAAGTTTGTAAGCGTCGTTTGTAAGCGTCATTTTTATATTATAAAGTTGTTTTAAGTTGTCTTTTGTGTATTTTCTATATCCTATAGAGTCTTTTCTTTTGCTAGCAAAAATTAGAATTTTCCTAATTTTTTTCTTGCATCAATTTGGTATCCGAGCAGGTTGTCGTGTGTGTCTTGTTGTCATGTATGTGAGTGTCATGTGAATTTATAGTTGTGTGTAAGTCTTGGTTATTGTGCGAGTTTTGGTTGTTGTTTGAGTGTCATGTGAGTATGTGGTGTCGGTGAATCTAAGCTTTTGTTGGGTATTCCTTTATTTTAATTCAGGATGGATAAACATTAAGTGAAAAGAAGTCAAGAAAGTAAGCCCAATGAACTTGAAGAATCTATTCCTAAAAGTCAATGGATCTCGCCTCAAGAAAGTTCTTCAGACCCGATACAGATCAAACTTATCAAGATTCAAGAACAATTGCAATTATGTGCTGAGGGATACGAGTCTAAGAAGCGTTCACTTATAGAAGAATTTGAACGAGAAAAGGAAACCATCAAATGAAAGTATGATATTCTAATTCAACAATTTGAAATGCCGGATCTCCAAAATTTTGAAGACAACTCATCGGGAGATGAGTTTTTTCAACCGGAGGAGAATTTGATGTAGGCAAAGGGGGGTTCAAAACATGAGCCTAATTTTTTGGGTTGTAATTTTAGTAAGCTTCTGTCCTATACTTAATTCAGCTCATTAATGGCTTTAGGAATACTTTTTCAACTCATGAATAGGATTTATGTTTGGTTCATTCCCCTTTCTCCCCCTCTTTGAGTCCCTTCAGTTTTCCCCTCCTGGTTCTTCTTCCCGTGACTGGTTCCTTCCCCCCTTTAATTGCTTGTTCCGGTCCCCTAGTGGCTGCTTGTCCCGTGGCTATTTTTTCCTGGTTTTTGTGTGGCTGTTTGG